CTAGCAGGTTTCCAATTCCCTTAAAGGTGTTCAGTGGAGGCGCTTCTTATATTTCACTTGAGTGATGTCAAGTAGGTGAAGTGAGCGTGCGCACAAGCTCTCTTAATTTGGTTAAGCGTCTAATCCTTAGCTAATTGGCGTGCTTGTCTGGGTCTCAAGCCTGTGTGGAGGTCACCAGCATCCACAGCCTCACGAGCAAGAATGGTTATCTTGAGGTTATCTTGAGATGATTTCGGGGCTTTTTAGTGTCCCCGCGGCCCGGTCCTCGACCAGGCCTCCACCCTCAGGAAGCAGCCCGTGACAGCTGACTAACACCCAGGTACCTATTTTACTACTAGGTAACAGGGGGCATAGGGTGGAAAGAAACTCTGCCCCTTGTTTCTCGCCGGCGCCTGGGATCGAACCCAGGACCACAGGATCACAAGTCCAGCGTGCTGTGCGCTCGGCCGACCGGCTCCCGTTGGTTTCCACTTTTCGAGGACATTAAGCCTGTTAGACTTATCGAGGTCTAATTACTCCAATTACTGACCATCCTCAGGAAGCAACAAACAACCAACTACCTAACTGCCAGGTTCCCTAACTTGCTGCTAGGTGAGCATGAGTTATAAGGAAAAGTGGCCCAACCTCCCCCTGTCCTGCTTCAGGAATCGAACATCGATAGTTAAAAATACCTCTAGTAAACACAGGGACGATGATCTTATCTTCACATCAGCGATAAAACGTTGTGACCGACCGGCAGAAGTCCTGTAGGATAAGGAAGGCTGAGCATACCTTGAGTCACACACAGAGATCACACTAACGTGATGCATCAAATGAACAAATCCACAAGGGCTGACTGGAGAGGCTACGGGATCCAGTAAGTTCAGTAGAACTTCGGTTTCAACTCCTTTTAACCCTGTCGTAGCTCAGTCGATTAAGGCAGTGTCTGGGATGCTCCCGGACGCAGGTTCGAATCCTCGTCACGGCCCTTGTGGATTTGTTCATACCTTGAGTATCGGAAGGTTCTCAAGCTCCCCCCCCCAGATGGAGAGGGACTGGTGCATACGCTGGAGAAACAGGCAGGAGGAACAACAATGGTGCCCCGGTGGACCTGGGAGTACCTAAGCGACGGGAAAGTGAGGGTCGTATACACCTTGCCAGCGGGAGTCTGTATTCAGCCGTATCTTGTCCATCATTTGTATAAGAACACAAGAATAATAAACAAATCCACAAAGGCCGTGACGAGGATTCGAACCTGCGTCCGGGAGCATCCCAGACACTGCCTTAATCGACTGAGCTATAGTTTTAATGATTAAGAATAATAAATTGCAACAGGCCTATTGGTCCTTACGTGGAAGCACTTATTTAAGTCCGCCCGTAACCATCTATATATGTCTAACCTGCGCTTGAAAGCACGCTGTGAATGATCTCCCAGAGAGGATATAGACTCCCTCGCAATTTTTGCGCCATCAGAAACAATAAAGTGCAATTTTGGAGACTGAAAGCATCTTGTGAATACTAAGAGTTAAAGTGAGACAAGTGGAGGTGGGTGGTGGGGTTATCTTGAGGTTATCTTGAGATGATTTCGAGGCTTTAGTGTCCCCGCGGCCCGGTCCTCGACCAGACCTCCACCCCCCAGGAAGCAGCCCGTGACAGCTGACTAACACCCAGGTACCTATTTTACTGCTAGGTAACAGGGGCATAGGGTGAAAGAAACTCTGCCCATTGTTTCTCTCCGGCGCCCGGGATCGAACCCGGGACCACAGGATCACAAGTCCAGTGTGCTGTCCGCTCGGCCGACCGGCTCCCCCGGGGTGAGAAGGCCGGCCACGAGATACCATGTACGGAAGCATGACAGATAACCGCACCTGAAGGAAGATATCACACCGAATATCTCTATCGATATCCACATCATCTGATACAATTTATAGTATATGCAAGGTTGGCCAACATGAGAACTGTCTTTAGGTATCCGAATAACAAGTCGTTCAGAGTCCTGTATATCAACGTATGTCAGAAAGTTATGGAACATGCAGCACCAGCTGGGAGCCCATATCCCACTAAACGCAAAAAAAAGAAGATGGAGAAAGTTCAGAGTGATTCCACCAGACTAGTCCGTGACCTGAGAGGTACGAGTTACGGCAAAAGACTAAAGAAGTCACTGGAATAGAAAAGACACAGAGGTGACATGATTACCACATACAAAATTCTTAAAGAAATTGAAAGGACAAACTAGATCAAACTAATTATAATCAGTGGTACGCGAACACTCATTCAGGTGGAAACAGAAGTTTGCAAACGAGAGACTGAGACATTAGAAAGGATTTGTAAAGTACAAAAGCAGTGAATAAATGAAATGTAGTAAGAAATAGTGAAAAGGATTCTCAAGTCATCGACTTGAGAATGGCCCAGGATGGACCGAAACGTCGTCGTCCCTTCACCTTCTAGTGTGTGGTCTGGTCAACAGTGAAAAGAACTCAAAACACACATTCAAGCGGAGATATGACAGAACACCCTTTCCCCTCCTCCCAAAAAAAGGTTTCAAAACCTGTAACACAGTATATTGACCATTGAGAAGCGAGATCAAAATGCTAAATCTCACGTAACTGAAGCAAGCATTCACGGTATTACCAACAGTTCCTGAGAGAGAGTTGCTTCATCAACAAGGGCACGATTCAGAAGTTTTCCGTGTATAGCCCCTCTCCTGTTACTGAAGCAGCCTCCCTGTTCCTTCTCTTCGGTGACCTCTGGAGCTCACAGACCCTCTCTTCTACCTGCCGGAGACTACAGGAGGAAGGGCTTAGGAGAGAAGCGAAGCCGAAAAAGAATTCAGCACACACCTTGTCCTTGTCTGACGCATGTCCTAACATATACCCTGTTGGAGGAGGACTTGGAGGGCGGGTCATAAATGGTGGCTTCAGAGTCATCGCTAGATGGAGGATGACCTTTAAGAGCTGTGTGGAGAAGTGTATCATTTAGCATTTAGGAGAGGCTTGTAGCAGAACACGTAGGAGAGGCTTGTAGTAGAACACGCAAATTACCGGTGAATAAAGACACCTTCAAGAGGTCCTGAGGTGACCTCTGTTAATGGTGCTAAAGTGTAACATGTGTGGGCTGGCTGGTGGCTATGAAGTGGAGGGTGAGGGGGACATCCTGTACCCCTTTGACGTAGCCTAAAGCCAGTCGTCTGTAAATAAATTTGACATCCTATAGGCATCCGGCCGCCGTAGGAAGGAGGCTGAATCAGTAGTCCAAGGCTGATTATACATAAAAACAAACCTCTGCTTTCCTAACTGGTTTATTTTCCCGCCAGACAGCTTGGCGAAACATTCTTAATTCCTACTACGTTTCCTGCGCTTTATTAAAAAAAATGAGTGAAATTATTTATTTACATCCATCCGATTTCTTGGGAAAATAACTCGCATCGTTTCTTAACCTACATTATTGTTCCTTTCATTTTCGGTACATTTGTGCAAGACTCAGAGACATCGGGTTTAAATTGTACAATCTAGCAAGCCTCATATCACGCACACAGGCGTTTGACAGAGAGCTCGTTTTTAAAAGAATTAAAACTGCATTGTATGGTTGAGCTATGCTTGCTTGGTGTGGCTGAATTACGTAATGCAAGATTAGGTGTACGTTTTCAAGTAAGAAATCTGTTGCAGAGTCATTTTTTGACGGAAGTATCCCTTGTATTCGTCAGTTGGTACACACTCCCACGGGACGTGCCGGTCGCGGACGTTTCGTCACTCGGCAAGATGGCCGACAAATTGATATCTATCTTGTTTTCATTTTATATATTATTTTTGCAATAACCTAATTAATATTTGATCATATTTACTTATACAAATTATCCAAATGATTGCATGCAAGATTTAAGGCTTATTGACTGAACCATTTCTGCACATAATTGAACTTTGACTACTTAACTATACTGCCTCTAAAATTACTATTCATACTAGTACTATACTGCTGCTACAGTTACTAGCCCATGCTAGTATTACGCCTACTGCCCTTTCAACAACCACAACTACCACACCACCAGGAAAACAATCATTACAGCCTTATCAATACACTAGTGGCACTTTAGTATGCAGCGTGTGGTCTGAGTAATGTAGGCTCTCTCTCTCTCTCTCTCTCTCTCTCTCTCTCTCTCTCTCTCTCTCTCTCTCTCTCTCTCTCTCTCTCTCTCTCTCTCTCTCTCTCTCTCTCTCTCTCTCTCTCTCTCTCTCTCTCTCTCTCTCTCTCTCTCTCTCTCTCTCTCTCTCTCTCTCTCTCTCTCTCTCTCTCTCTCTCTCTCTCTCTCTCTCTCTCTCTCTCTCTCTCTCTCTCTCTCTCTCTCTCTCTCTCTCTCTCTCTCTCTCTCTTTTCTTTCATTCTTTAGCATTTATGCATTATTAATTCGTTGAGAATATTTTTAGTCGTCATTCTATTTTTAAGTTGCATTATTGATGAGTGTTCCTTCAGTGTGTGGCATTTGTGTGCTATGGTCTGTCTCCATGTTTACTGGTGTGTGCTCACACAGTCTAGGCTTCACTGGGAGACGTGCACAGTTCAGCCTAGGCTTTAGACAAAAAATTATAAACACAATTTCTGAAAAAAATTACGTTTAAGTGTATCTATGGAAAACGTTTTGGTACGAAGTATGAGGATAAAGTGACTATTGTATTATGGCAGACTCCCAAAGGTTACAATCATACACATGTACCTGGAATACATCATACACATGTACCTGGAATACATCATACACATGTACCTGGAATACATCATACACATGTACCTGGAATACATCATACACATGTACCTGGAATACATCATACACATGTACCTGGAATACATCATACACTTCAGTACACACCATCAACGCATCACTCGTACGACTGTGCAGATAAATCTCGCCATAGAGAAATACCGTAAACTATTATGCGATTCAACATGAGAACCTAAGATAATCTAGGCACACATATGGCTGTGGACTCTACATATCCGTCTGAGTAACCCACATATGTCCGTCTGGGCAGGCCACCTCCGTCTGCAGTACTGATGGGAGCGGTTTCCTGCAGAGGACCAAAAGAGCGCCACTCCCAGACCCGAGGAAATGATCCACACCACCTGCTCATCGGGTCAATCTTCGACACACACCCTTAGCCTGTTAAACCCAGGCGGGGACCGGAGAAGACCACTCCTGTTAGCACCCCGAGGGCTCTCCCTTCCCTTAGCTCATGGTAAGCCTCACCCACGCGTTCTCCCCTGGAACACAAGCCACCAATCTGTTTACAACCAGGTTCTCAATTACTGTTGGGTGAACTCGGGTGAACAGTCAAGGAATGGCTTCTTCCTGTCCATATCTCGAACCCAGACAACATCGTTGGGAGCTTATGTTGCGACATTGGGTAGAGGAGGGCGGGCGGGCGAGATGACAATTCCCTTTGTCTAGGACGGGAAGGCATCGAGGTCCCACCTCGAAGTCGAACCTTTCCTAGAATGCAACCCACAACAGTGACGTCAAGTGAAGGGATATGTACTCAACCATTTCTGTTCAATCTGGGAGATCGAGTCTGGGATCCTCAATTGTGATTCGGTAATGTAGACCACTGTACTATAGGAACCATTAGCTAGGTAGGGTTTAAGGCTCCTGGTAAGCTGGGAGATCCCCATGGGTGTTCACAGAGCAGATATGTGTATGTTTACAGCCGAGAACTATCATTATTGACATTGTAATTGTCAGAGTGGGATATTGCTCTCTGGCAGGTGGCTGCAGGTAATGAATCCCACTATGGTGAACATTCCAATTGTAAACTATGTGAACAAGAGCTGGGACATATTCTTCAACACTATACCCTGTGGTGGCCCTGTTATCAAAGATTTCAGACCAAATGGAATGAGGTACTTTGAGCTCTGTAACTCCTTCATATACTCACGAATATTGGAAGATATTCTTGTGCTGTACCCAAGGTTTGCTAGTGGAGGCTAATGGATCAGCCTCGCATATCATGTTTTCTTGATTCCATGTATGAATAACCTCCCCATTTCTACCCACACCCATTTCCACCCACACACACCCTCCCCATCTCCCACAATCACTGTATTTTTACTACACACTACCTCCATCACTGAGACCAAAAGGTTGCAACCAGAATGCAAATCTGTTATCTGAACATATACTTTTTTCTCATTAGAATCTGCATACACTAATATTTGAATAAATGCTGAACTCTACAGCCTTGAGACAGAACATTGTATATCTGATGACTTCGTGCAGGCCTTGAGGGAGTGGACATCCCCTTTAAGAGCCGACCCTCTTCCCCTTCCCCTCAGACCTCCTATAACACTCGCCATCCAATCACCAGTCATTGTACAAAGTTTAACGAGGCTAGGTTCAAATGTCTAGCCTCGAACCTTTTATAGATACAGATAATGGGTTTGAACAATTAGTCCGAAATTTGCTCGGTTTACGCATTGTCCAACACTGGGCCCTTGTAGCAAAATCCCAAGGTCAATAAGTTGACCTCCCTTCCCCCCAGAGATGGGACCAGTGGGTGTAGTTGACCCCAATACTTGATAACCTGCTATTAATGGCAAATTTTATCATGGCGGAGGCTGCTAAGGGTTGAAGTGGCGCCTCTCTTGCGCCTCTTCTCGAGTTGTGTTTATTTGTAGCCGCCATTTTGTGTCGTGTGTGTTTAGTTCTAAACCATCATGCTTGTGTCCGGCCTTGTGGGTCTCGAGCGTAGCTGTGGTGTAGTTTAGGGTCAGTCGTGGCACGCCATGAGGCCGGCTGTTTGATCTACTGGGAAGTAGTCGTGTATTATACTTGAGTTGTTCTTCACAGGACCATAAGCACCGTCAGGACACGGTGTTGCCAAGAGCGTACGTGCGTGAGTGCATGCGTGCGTGCGGGTACGTGTGTGTGGGTGTGATTTTTTTCGTAAACGAGCTGATACCAAATGGTATCATTTATCTTCTAAGCCTGGCAGTCACTCGAGAATGATAAGTTGTCAAGAGTATTCCTGTGATTACGCAGCGTTGACTGTCACCCACCAAATTACTATCTGACGCACAAGACCATACTCTGTTAACTCCAACACGGAACCAGCACATCACCTAAACGTCTCTGAAACTCAATACACACAAAATCTGAAATGTGAAAGGCTCGCATCATTAAGCAACTTCTCTGAACTAGAGTCAGCGGGGAGAACTAACTTTTTAAGATCGACGTCGGACAAGGACGGCTTTCATACACGGGGTTATTAGGCAAAACTGGCCGAGATTGGCTTTAATTTTACCCGTATAATCTAGTACATTTAGTGCCAGGGATAGATTAGGGTGTTCCAAGGACAGAATGTGGGTCGAGTGATTATGGGGTTAGTTGCCATGGAATTCAAGAGGTAACCTTGAAGAAATAAGGACTTTATGGATCATATATGGCATGGGTGCTTGTATTACATTAGTGTGTGTGTGTGTACTAGTTGTGCTTGCGGAGGGTTGAGCTCTGGCTCTTTGGACCCGTCTTTCAAGCGTCAATCAACTGGTGTACAGATTCCTGAGCCTACTGGGCTCTATCATATCTACATGTGAAACTGTGTATGGAGTCAGCCTCCACCACATTACTGTGCTTGCTTGTATTCTTGTCTGTTTGTGCTTACTTTTTTTGCGAGGACTTAGTTTCAGCAATTAGCTCCCATCTATCATTATTTAATCAACACATGTACGGATTTCCAAACCCTTTTAGAGTCTGGTATATGTAAACATATATTATGCGTGTGGTGATCATGTCTCCGTTTGACATCTTACGAAATACGTTTTCCACTTTGGTGCTGTGTATTCCAAAACTGACCTGACGCGCGAGGTATACAAAGGTCCTGAATGACACTAACTTTAGAGTCCTGAAGGAAGTGATGACAAATTTTGCATATGGCACTGAAGACATCCGGTTAATCCGAGTGCATCCGGTTAATCCGAGTTCATCCGGTTAATCCGAGTGCATCCGGTTGACCCGTTCTTGAAGGCGACCCGCTCCGTGACGGATGAGCGGGCGCTTTCAAGCCTCACGTTTACTCACTTAAATATGTACATTCTTACATAAGCCAGTGCCGCCGTGGCATGCTGTGCCCCGTGCTTCACTTGCTTGTCCGCATGCGTCATCCATGCGGTATGAGCATTGCCTGAGTCAGACAACTCCGACTTGTTTTCATGGAAAGTATGTTATGCGCGTGGCGTGCCGTTTTTGTTTTGTACTGCCACGCGCCACCTGAGCGTCAAGTGTTTGCTCCATGCGACGCGTTTATATTGCGTCTTCAGTTCATATTTCACGTTACGTGCATAATTTGCCCTTAAAACGTATTTTTTTTCAACGCGAAATACTGGCTTTATATAACGTGAAGTGTATGACTTGTATGGTCTTTCAGTGCGCAATGCGTTATTGGTGCGCGACATGTACTGCGCAGTCGGCGCATGGGCCAATCTTTCGTTCTCCATGATGAATAGAGAGTTCTTTAGTATGAAATGTGGATGTTTACAATAATTTGTAGTGACAAAAATTGGCCACATTCCTCCTGACAGGGCTGGGATATGGCCCAATACCATATGCCACACCATGGTATAATATATATATAAAATTTCGGAAAATCGGACAATTTCTTCAAAAAGAACAGGTGTAACACAAACAAGGAGCAACGGTTTCAAGTTCAACAAGCCACAATGTAGGACTGAGAACAGGCGATGCTTTTTCACCCATAGGTTTATAAACCCATGGAACCGCCTACCCGCCGAAGCCCTAACTGCCAAAGCTTCTCCAAGGCAAAATGGGGGGATCTTCAACAAGCCGCCGGCGTCCTGTCTCGTGGAGGCCACTAGTCTTGACAAATTTAATACGCAGCATAGACTAAAGTAAGGTGTATATACACACACAAGCAAGGAACACCTCGCTGTATATATATATCCCTTATTTGACCGACTACAAGATTGGTAAGAGTGGATAAAAGATTGGAAAAGGATGGGAGGTTGGTTAGAGATAGAGGATAGGAAAGAAAGGAGCTTGACCACTAGTGGTTTGTGTGTGAAATGTGTGGTATTGAGTGTGCTGTGGGTTGGTTAGTCATTCCGGCCTCATCGTAACATCTGACAAACTTTGTTTTCTCGGTAGGCGATATGGTCACGGAGGGAGGAGGCTGAATATTTTATTTGACTGGAATTAACACCATTAGAGTAGTGCTTAGGTGGATTATTTATGCTTTATTACTTTATGGGTTTTTGTTGTTAGCTGGTGTAATACTGATAGGCTATGAATCAATAGGCTGGTGTGATATCCATAGGCTATGAATTAATAGGCTGGTGTGATATCCATAGGCTATGAATTAATAGGCTGGTGTGAATGATTTTTCTTAACGAATTATGCTGCTTTAACTGATTTCTAGATTTTATTCACGTGAATTGTATGTAAAATACAGCTTTTTATATTTGAAAATTGTATGGGATCACTACTCATTGATTAATTGATTTTACGTGACATTAATGATAAATTTAAATCCGGTCAAAGAAACTAGGCTACAACATCGGGTTAAGTAGTGAGCATTCCCGACTTGGGAACATCTGAGGTGCTTGATGATTGATTGATGAAGATTAAGCCACCCAAGAGGTGGCACGGGCATGAATAGCCCGTAAGTGGTGGCCCTTTCGAGCCATTACCAGTATCAAAAATTGATACTGGAGATCTGTGGAGGCGCAACTGCACCCTGCGTGACGGGAGATGTCTCCCGGACCAAATGGTGACCAAATGGTGTGAGGTGCTTGGTGGACTAGGCTTTATATAGAGCATTAAGTGCACAGGCTTCCCTTTATGGGCTATTCATGCCCGTGCCATCTCTTGGGTAGCTTAATCTTCATCAATCAATCGTTCACAGGCTTCAGCACTCGGCCAAGTATTAATTACGTGGACTTGATTATGGAATATTGGAATACAAGTAGGCTGTGCCGATAATAACAAAAAAATATTATGTAGAATTGCAAGGAAAATGTGGTGTGGAAAATAATTTCTCATAGTTGACATGTGTTTGTGACTATAAATTTTAAATTTGGTGTTATAAATTTTAGATTTTGTGTTATTATACAATTCATTTGTTTAAGCTTGACATAAAAACGCAGTTTTTTTCCTCTATAATGGATGAGGGACCTATTTAATAGAAGTGAATGTGATCGTCGGAATGAATGTGATAGATTATAGGAAGTTTTGGGAAAAACTTGAAAAGCTTGAGGGAGTTTGTTAAAACATTGACTACAGGCTATGATAGGTGTCCATACTTGGCAGAGATCCTTCATTCCAACT